ATATACAGCATTTGAGCAGTGATTCAGTAAGACATCTGTGAAGTCTGGTGTGACAAATTCTATTTATCTATGAAGTTATTTGTTAACAGTAAAAAATGGAAAGATGAAAGGTGATCGTACACACACACACATTCACATATGAATAGATAGGTGATCATTATGTTGTTGTACAGGCAACAATTGAGGTGATCACGTGAAACGATAAGTGGGTACTGACGAAGCTGAAATTATTGAAACAAAGTGAATATGGATTACAACTGCCCGGTTTAGCATTTGAAGCGATGGATGCAGGGTTCGAGTCTAAGTAGGAACAATATCACTCACTGCTGGGTCCTAAATGAGACAAAATGAGGATCGTGGATTTCCCTGCTAGTCACCATCCAGCAAATAACATCATGCCTTCACTGTGTCTCTCGGCATATTCTGTTTCATTGAATCGCCATTATAGCGGAAGATGTAGACTGACATGTAGCTGCAAGGAGGATTTCATTCACTGATATAGAAATACATCGTATGTATACAAATTCCGCACATATAAAACAAGTTACATCTTATATTTGGTTTAAATTCACATTAGGAACTAATTTTCTGGAAGTTCCAAGTGGTAATATTGTTCTCTCCGGCGAATATCTTCTTATTCAATAAACTTATCACAAGTGCGTCGTGTAATATGATTTGGTATAACGTGTTATTTTTAAGATAAGCCAGTTGGTTGGTGCTAAATATCATCACATTATTATTATTACTGTTATTATTGACTTGGGTCCCGAATGGTGCATAGGGCTTCAGCAGTGCATTACCATTTCAGTCGGTTATCTGCAGACCCAATGACTGCCTGTAACCTTCCATTTATTACTCAAGCCATTTCCACTATGTCACCCTCGAACCAACGCCCAACTCGTCGTCTCCCATTCGCGTTACACTCAGTGGTCTGGTGTGTAATATCAGTCAACGTGTGTCCAATCCATCTGAATAATCTTTGGCATATTTGTCAGGCAATACGTTCTTGGCTGGTTCGTTGCCACAGTTCTTTATGAATTATCCTCTGCGGACATTTGGTCCTTAGTATGAAGCCAATAAAGACAACTGTAAACAAAAGTTTGTGGGCTGTTCGAAATGCTTCTTGTGACGAGCCAATTCTATCAACCAAATAGAACAACTGACATGACATTAGTGTTGGAAAGTCAGATTTTTTCCTTATGCTGAGTATGGTGGATTCCCAGAGTGATTTCAGAGTGATGAATGATTGTCTCGCCTTAAAGTTCCTGTCATTGACATAGTCATCTGTGCCGTCTGTACTTGAAACCATTCTACCCAGCTCAGTGAAAGAGATGAGTGCCTTCAAATTTCTCCCATTTTTAGTGAATGGTGCTTGCTGTTGTTGTTGGTAGTGGTGGTCAGGTATCTTCATTACTTCTGTCTACTCTACTTTCACTTGAAGTCCTATCTTCGCTGGTTGCATCTTCTGTCAGCTTGTTGGTTTTTGCGTGTATATCTCCGAGTTTGTGTGACATTAGACACACATCGTCCACTAAGTCAAAATCTTCCATATTCTTCTTGTCTGTCCAAAGTATTCCTGTCTTCTCGTTCCCCACGATCTGCTACATGATGTATACCACCACAATCAGAAATACCATCGGTGGTAATATGCAGCCTTGTCTTCATTTAAAAGGCTATGCCACGGTACATCATTCCAATGACCAATACGACTATTACATGCCGGACAACTGGCTAGTTCCAGTGCATGAAGGCAACCATTGTCAAGTATTTACCGATATACATCCATCTATCTCGAAATATACCTATCACCTTCAGGAAATGCTGTGTTCTTTCAGGGATATGAATTGTTTATTCGATATCCTAACTAATAAACAAAAACTGAACATATACAAAATCGAATAACTTCTACATATTTGCATTATACAATATGGATATGATAAATCTGTGATGATAGAGAATAGGAGTAGTCTTGGTATGTTTTCCTTCCGGTGTTAGTAGTTTAATTGTGTAGCCTTCAACGCCTCCATTGCTAACAGCTTTAGGGTAGACTTGATCCTGAAGTTAACTTCAAACATTCGTCCAATAATTAGTGTTTCCATGATGCAGAAACACCAGGAGTTACAAGATTACATTTCCAAAGGAATGTCAACTTTATTTACTTTGAATGTTGGTGGCTGTCTTTAGACTGAGCTACGATGAGTAACAGGATCCGGCAGTCTATGTAGTAGATTGCAAAATCAGGTGTCTAAAGCCAGTACAGGGGTCTTCTTTCAAATATGATCAGTACTGCATGACTTAAGCACCGCTGAACAAAGAATATTCTAAACGTTTTCACTAGCTTATAGAGATGATTTAGAACATACTTATTAGCATATCAATAGCCCTAATTTTAGGTTTAATTTCATTTAGCATTATTTCAACTTCTATTGATGAAATTACCCCCTCATACTACCCCATAAATTCTGTTCACCTTTTACGAGATACATACATATAGTCATTCTTGTCCCTATACTTTTCCATAGTCTGCTATTTACGTTTAATCATCTTCAAGGCTAATAAGTTAGTTTCTTTTTCCAGCCGATTATTGATTATGCTGGACCGAAATGCTCAGCCTTTAGCGATATGCATTTCCAAAATAATCAATCAATTGGAAATGTGGACTAATTTTAACAACAGTTATAACAAACACCTGTTGCACATGAGATGGCTCTCGTAGCCCAAGTGATCTAGTGGATAACGCTTTGACGTTTGAAACGATGGGTATCAAGTTCGAATCTCTGTGGGAACACCATTAGTCACTGGATATGTGACTACACCTAGCTGACGAACCCAAATGAGACGAAACGTGCATCCTAAATTCTACTTCTGCTGACCATCTTTACAAGGAATCCAACAACATGAATATACAAGCATTCGTCTTTGTTTGATAAATAACTCGGTAAATTTAGATTTTAAGTACCAGTAAGTACCAACGGACGAACGACCTTGGACGCACCAATCACACGATAAAGGCGACTTTTACGTATTGAATATATTCATGAAAATAATGAATTAAAAGGCCTGAAACTGTTACACAAGATACCTTTCTCTGATGTGTGACAAAGATACCTCTCAGTTTTGGATTGGAATATCAACAGAGTAATTTAACCACATTCTATGCATGTAATTTCTAGATCTTCTAACCCTAATGTTTCCTTAACCTAATGTGAAAATATCCCTAAAGTAACCCCTAATCAAGCTCGAACCAACCCTAATGTCGCCCTCATTAGGTTAGACTAACCACAACCTGTCCTTAGCCTAAACCTTAACTTAATCTTTCCCAAATCTAATCTAAAGCTTGTCAGATATCCCATTTAATAACATAGCACTTAAGCATATTTTATTCATGACTACGATATTATTTACCAGGTTTTAATAACTTGCTCGGGGTACCTAACCTGTCTTATGCTCTGATGGTGTTCTCGTGACTTTTGTTGCCAGATCTGCCAAGGGCGATGGGATAGTACGCGACCTAATGGTTGTGTGCAAGGTTTGAAGTAGGGTGTGTGCTATTTGCATGCGCCTCGCCCTGATAATGTATAAGTGCGCCGGTGGCATAGCGGTTAGGACGCTCGCCGATCATGCACATGGTCCGGGGTTCAATCTCCGGCCAACGCACTCCTTTACCTTGATAAACAAGAAATAATGCTAGTAAAGAGGAAAGGTTGGGTATGAAGCTAGAAACCCCATCCTGTAAAAATGATCACCACTGCTATCGAAACTTCAAGCCACTAGCTCGAAGCCCTGTGTTCCACTGGCGACGTGAAGGAAAAAAAACAACTTGCTCACTGAGCGTTTCAAGTTCACTGGTGCGGTCGCACTCCACTGGTACTCACTGGTGCTTAAAGTTCAGCTTGGCCAATAAACCAATATTATAATGGTTTCCCAGTTATTTTATATAATTCCAATTCTAGGTTTTAAAGGTGATCGAAGCATTTTGCATCAGTCCTATGCATCTGAAACAAGAGATTTCAACTGCTACCCACACGGAACAATTTAATCCATAGAAATACGGTTGGTTACTAAAACATCAATTTATCCCACTTCCTAACTTTTCATTATTGCTTACCATGTTAGTTCTGACACGATTCTAGAGAAATTACAAGATTATATCACCTCGCAATGTGCGTGTGTGGATTAATGACAAAGTACTCCCCGGTCACGCAGCAGGTTCGGTGTTGAATCCTGATCAATGCACTCCTGAGACGGCCAACAATAATCCCAGATAAGACATAAGTTTTAGCTTGAAATTAGCAATCCCACTCCGTAAAAAGCAACACCACCAACCACTGGAACTTCAAAACTCTTTGTTCGACTACGAAAGCGAGGTATGAAAGAAAAATCGCCTCGTAATATAGATTTGTCTTGTGAGTGTCATTATTTAAACTTATCAAACACTTATCAAGTTTTCAAACACTGCCATCTATCAATCGCAGTATAATTTCCTTATCTCTTCAGCTCTTTTACATGCTTTTTTAAAAGTATATTAACCGAATTTGATGAACACACACATGTGCAAGATCCCAGTTAGCTCATCGGTCGAGCATTACTAGCTGATATAGGTTCAGGTTGGAAAAGAGTAAGTGGTGCCATGCCAAACAAAAACATGGCATCAATCCAAGACATCCTTGACAGTTAAACTGAGTTAGGTAGGGAGATGCGGACTTCTGAGTTGGGGCCCTGGGGACCCTAAGAATAAATGGCTGGAGATAATAGGCGACATGGCTCAAAATCGTTGTCAATGGTGCAGATGTATTCAGTCTCTGTAATCTTTCATATTCCTTTCTACCATTACTCATTCTGTTTCACTCTTATACTTGTCAAAACTCTATTGATTCTCTTCCCTCATCATCATATCTACCTTTGTGTGCTCTTTGGAACGTGGCAACTCGATCTGCTGCACTTTGGAGCCAAGTTCTATGTTGAATACAGGCAGACAGACAGAAGAATGAAAATGTATTGAAGAGATTAAATTATTCGTCAAACCAAGATGACAATGAATTATTCAAATGAAAATCATACAAAATGAGATACATATTATCTACGATAATAGATTGTGATATTCTTTCACATAACACCACTACTGACAACATTTACAAATAGAGTTAAAATATTAAACGAGATCGGTGGAATTTTCATTTTTTCTTTTTATCGTTTTCTCGGTCCTTGTTGGATTGTTAATATTTATTTAATATTTAGTTCATCTGATATGCAAAGTTAGTGATATTACCAACAAAATTGTACATATCAGAATGATGAATGGAAGCCAAGAGGCAATAAAATGACGTTTACTGGAACAAAAGAAAGATGAAAATCGAATTATACAAAGGAATATAAAATAATAACAACAACAAAAAACGAGTTATATAACTATAATCGTCAATGATATTCCCAATTTTGATAGACTGGGTAATCTAGCAGTCCATACGGAGCCTGAAGATGAGCATACTTAAGACCAACAAACAGACAATGACTAACTGACTGACTGGTTTCAAAGTAGAACTTTGCACAGATGTGCAGCAGTTCTAGTTGCCACACTCCATATTGTAGCACAACAATGCAAGAGAAGACAGTTAGAGGGAGGTTCAAAAGACAAATAATGAACAGAAGTGTGAGGTAAAAAGAATGGTAATATCGAAGAACAATATAGTTTTATTGGATATTATAAGTCATAAGGAGTGGATGCCTTTGAGCCATCATCGAGAACGATTGTCTCCAGCCAATGATTCTAATCATCCCGGGGACCCCAACTAGTCAGGGAGTCTACACCTGTCTACGTGGCTGGCTTAAGTTAACTGCTGTGGATTTCATTGACTGGTGCCATGTTTAGGTTTGACCACCACTAGCCAACTCTTTCCTAATCTGATCCAATGTCAGCTAACATTGACCGTCGAGGAAGGCAATGGCTAGGCATGAGCAACAAATGTCCTAACCATCTCAACCGGTGTAACTTCACAACCTCGTCTAATGATTTCCCCTCCTTACCTAGCACTCGACGTCTAACTTCAATATTGCTCATCCTATTATACCACTTCACACGGGAGAGAGAACAAAGGTACCTATAATTAAAGACAGCTAACTGACCTTTTCGTGTCTTCCACTTTAAGTGGCCATGTCTTACAGCCATAAAGGAGGACAGAGAGGACTACTGAGCAGTACACTTGCCGTTTGGTCGACAGCCGGATATCACATCTACGCCAGAGATGGCGTAAACTGGCATATGTGAAACGAGCCTTCTATACAAACGGAGATTAGTAGATTCGGACTTCATAGATGATTTATGTCTAATGTCACACAAACTCGGAGACATACAGGCAAAAACCAACAAGCTGACAGAAGATGCAAGCAGCGAAGATAGGACTTCAAGTTAACATAGAGAAGTCAGAAGTAATGAAGATACCCAATTACCACCACTACTAACAAAAGCAGCAAGCACCACTCAGTATAAATGGGAGAAATTTGAAGAGACTCATCTCTTTCACTGAGCTGGGTAGAATGGTTTTAAGTACAGACGGCACAGATGACTATGTCAAATGCGTGATCCGAAAGGCAAGACAGGTGTTCACTACTCTAAAGTTAATATGGAGATCTATTGCACTCAACATAAGGGACAAGATTCGGATTTTCAACACTAATGTCACATCAGTGCCTTTATATGCTGCAGAGACTGGGCGCCCGAATCATCAAAACTATTTAAAACCACCTGCTGCAGACTTCCATCGGCAGATGCCTTTGGTTTCTCCATATACTGGAGATCAGACAGCAGACCAGAAAAAATAACCAACAAGGAACTCTGGCATCAAACCAGCCAAGAACCTATTACCCAACAAATATATAGAATAAAATGAATTGCGTATAAACTGAACAGAACGTCAGGTGACGTCACGCACCAGGGAGATCTTCGAGTGCAGCTCAAATGGGAAACGACGAGTTGTGAGTCCAGGGGCGACAGAGGAGATCGTTTGTGGAAGAAGTGAAACTTAATGGGCAGTCGTGGGACCCGCTAATAAAGACTGCGGAGAACAAGGTGAAATGCTGATGTGATGCTGAAGCCCTGTGTTCCACTTGGAACTTAAAGAAGTAATAATAATATGCTATTAAAAAGACGGTTGTAGAGAAGAAAATGTTCTTTTCGACGAAGTCATCAACTAGGTTGTACATTCGTACGTTTATAGTAAATGCGTGAGAAATTTCCAGAATAATTTCTGGTGAAAGGTTAAATTAATAAAATTATAAAGTGTAATAATCAGGAAGATCCGGTGGAAAAGACATAATAAGACCATAATTAATAAAAAACTTTACTGTTTGTACAATTACGAATTTTATTTTATTTTATTTAAACGCAGAAAAAACTTGGTCCAATATGGCACTAAGAAAGATGCGCCACACAATAATAATAAAACAACATAGATTAAAAGTAAAAATATAAGTAGAATACGGATAAAGAACTTTATCTGGAAGGAAAACAGTCATGTTTAACAAGTTCAAACAGTATTCGTTAACTATCAGGAAGGGAAGAAAGAGGGAAATTGCAACACGTTCGCCATTGATTACGATTCTTGGCCATATCCGATAAAGTTTCGAGCAATCGATTCGAGCTATCTCGTGGACCCCAACCAGAGTGTCGTGACGCACCAACCGATGCTAATCTAGCACAGAAATCCTTCATCCCACGATGCCACGTCATGGACTGACCACCCCTCCGCCTTTTTCATCCCGTCCCGGGACTAGCGAACAGAGACCTGTGCGGAAGCCTCTGGGATGACATTCGCAGCACATGTCCAAACCACCGGAGCCGGTGTTTCCAGGTGACGACATTCAATGAATGGTGATCTCCACTGTGTTCAAAAACACGCCGCCGAACCTAAGAATTACTCACGCGATGATGCCATCGAACGCAAGCAATCCTGCGGAGACAGCTATGATCGAACACGCAGAGTCGCCGCACATCCTCAGCTCGGAGAGGCCAGGTTTCACAGGCATAGTAATAACAAAATAGGTAGGAAGTTGGGATATATAAAAAAATCTAGTAATACAGACAGAAATTAAAAACGTAAAAATAACAGAAATAAACTGGAAGGTTAGATAAGAAAGGTAATAGGATAATTATTACTGGTGAGAATGACTTTTCATGATAGCCACGGTAGGTTATTAATAGTATCACCTGAAAAATTGCATTGATTAATGATATTCGTAAATATCTTTCGGAGATTATCTTGACATCCTAAGAAAACTTTCCATGTCAGCAACTATCCTGCATCACATGGCTGAATAAAGACATATAAAAAAACTTAAGGCTTATATAGCTTTACAACATAAAACCAACTCGTCGGAAAATGCCGTCTTTTCGATATACCGTGGAACAACTTTGCCAAACTGCTCTCTTAGCAGAAACAAAATCTATGCCTCAAAGAAACAAATTCTAAAAATGAAAAACTGATTAGGTGGAATCATTTCTTGAGTCAAATGCGCCAACAAAATTATTTAGATAATGAAGATTACTAAACTAAAGAAAATCTTTCAGTATGAAGTATGTGGCAACTTAAATTGAAACTAAACTGTTAGCAGTATTCTCTTAATGTAGACTATGACGTTTGCATCAGTGAATTGGAAAATACATTGCGACATTGACAAGAAGGTGTGCTTGTGTGTTCAACCTTCCGCTTGAACCTCTGCAAGTAGTCAGAATCCTGGTGCACCTGGATGATGGTTGTGTAGATGCCTGCGAAACTGACATAAGTGAGATTCGCTATCTTATTCTGAAAACCAGCATGATAAACATTAGTCTGTTCATTTTCTACAGTACTCTGACCTTGATCCAATTTTAAACCACCCAGAGTGCTGAAGATATCCAGTCTCTATTTGTGTTCGATTGTCGATATACCTTCTGACATCTGATAAGAAAATGTGTTACGCATGCCTACCCATCGCCTTCCTCGATGGGCAATGTAAGCTGATAAAAAGTCAGACTGGAAAAAAGCCAGTGGTGGTCAAACCAAAATATGGCATCAGTCAATGAAATCCACAACACTTAGTTTGAGCCAGACACGAAGGAAGGTGTAGATTTCCTGGTTGGGGACCTCTGGACGGTAAACACCAATGGCTGGAGACAAATGGTGATACGGCTCAAAATCATTGTCAGTGGCGTAGATGCACCCACTTCTTGTGACTTATAATTTCCAATAAAACTATATTGTTCTTCGATATTACTATTTTTTGTTTACAGTCTCTATTTTGCGTTTCTTTTTACTTTCTTTTTCTTTTCTGGCTTTGTGTGCTGAGTGAAGTGTGGCGACTCGAACTGCCGCACATCGGTGCAAAGTTCTATGTTGAAACCAGTCAGTCAGTCTGATACTAACACAGTATATGAGGTTTTGAATTTCAACTATGTGCGCTTGAACATGATCAAAATTATCATAAGTAAAATAGTTTTCAAACATCGGAACAAGCAGCTTGTCAACTATGGGATTGGATAGAAGCAGGGTATACATTGTGAAATATTGGCGTCCAATATTGTTTTCAATTAAATCTCATCAGGCTTAACTCTAATATCCTATTGACAAAACACCGTGATTGGTTTATATTTGAAAACAATATTGTTCGCTTAAGTATGTTGTACTAAATACTGGCGTATCGTTTTAAAATGAAGGGTAACTATTCGTTAAAGTACTGCTCTAGTTCGTACTAATTTCGTGTATGGTTTATAAACGAAATCGGTGACGACCACTTCGCAGGCTAATTAAATTTTAAGAAATTTAATTCACAACTATCGAAAGACTGTGAAGGCCTAATGAGTATAATTCACTTAAAGAACTTTTTTTCCCTTTACCCCTATTTTCTATACATTCGTAATGTAAATTTGCGTCTAAAATACTTCTTAGTGTAGCTATAGTCGTGTATTAACCAAAATAAACGTGATCTAATTTGATCACTAAAACAATGAAATACATATTTTGGCACTACAGCTAGCGAGGGAAATAACAACTACTCCGCTAATATCACATGTATCATCGACCACCCCAGATGAAAGAAGTCAACAGACTGTTATTTTAAGCAGAGACTCTGCCGATCGTAAAATGACGCGGCTGTCTGTATTTTAGGAGAGTGCTAAGCGAGTACGTTGTACTAATTAAGACAGTAGTTATGTAAGTGCGCGTAGACAGTTGTCTTCTGAAGTGACGATAACCATTAGTGTCGGTTAAGTATAGCCATCGTCTCATTCTTGATAAACTAGTGGGTGTGACCCTGGATCGACTCTGGCGTTTCAAAGATTGACTTATTACCAGGGTAAAGTCATGACGATTTACGGTATGTAGATGGCGAGGCTTTTTACCTCAAGACGCTGACAAAATGCAGAGTATCCTTAACACCTTGAGCATAAATTTCCCTATACTTAGCATGTGATACGTGCCTATCAAACATAAAACAAAGCTGAAGCACACTGGTGTGCGCTGACTCCTAATTTAAAGATAGGGAGTGATTGAAGTGGTTGACTGTATTGACCATGACTTTATGACGAAATCTTAGAACGGATACAAGTGGTGAGTCTGGCGTTTACCAACTCGCATCAACTTTTGTACAGGAACGATATTAGTCTATCTATCAAATGATGTGTGTACTTTGCGACAGTTCATCTCATCCTCCTTTACGACTGTGAGACAGGGCCGATAAAATTGGCATGTTTGAAGCGGCTGGTTGCCTTTAACCATACTTTTTTGTATTCAACCGTTTGTGTTAGGTGGTACAATATGGTCAGTAATAATTGGATAAGGCGAAGAGTGTTAGTTGGGTGGGGAAGTCTATCAATGGGGCTGTGAAGCTGTATCGATTGAGATGCGTAAAACATGTGTGATGCAGACAAAGTCATCATCTTACTCTACGACCAATGTCAAGTGATATGCCATTAGGTTGAAAAAGATATAGGATGGTCAGACAAAAGTATGACATTAATCGATGAAGTTACTGACTCTTGATAAGAACCGCACAGAGAAGTGTACACAACGTGGCTAGCACCTTTGTGACGCTAAGAATCAATTATCGCAGACTTGGTAGCATTGCTGGATATCATTCGCAATGATCCAGATGCATTTATTCCTTATTATTATTCAGACTTTTAAAATCCTCACTAATGAGCATCTAATTATTCCCCATCTTTTACATTTTCAGCCATCACAGCATGGGTTTTAGATTTCTTTTTTATACTTTAATGTGTCTTTTTTTTCGAAAAGTGCTAACTTGAACTGATGCACTTTTGTACAAACTATCACTCTGATTTGTCAGTCAGTCAGTCAACGGTACGATCCTAAACTATAGGATTGACTTTTAACAATATAACTGGAAATAAGAAGATGTTAATAACAGCGGCAACTAATCAAAGACAAACAAAACAGACTCTTAGGCACTGACTTTGTTTTAAACAGTAACACGAGAAAAGAATTTTAAGAAAATCGTTTCATAGGGCAGTTAAACTTACCTAACGTATTTCCCATGAAAGAACAATAACACAGTAACACGTATCATATTCCAATTGTCTTTATCTTGAAAACGCATCTTGTTTAAAGCATATGCCACATGACTATGACAATTATCACAAAGAAGATTATGCTGAAATGATAAACAACAACACGTCATAGAAAGCGTTTGTTGGAATATTAACTTCAATAATATCATTGGTAGAATCATCTCATTGTAAACATTAACTACTGCAATTATTTTTAAATGACTGAAACAACAACGAAACCCACTTCACATTCTTGGCTATTGATATTCAAATATATATATTAATCTCTTCTTATAAGAACAACTCGATAAAAAAATACAGCTTTTATCTTTCAACTCTGATTATGGATACAGACTGCTTTTCTACCATTTCATTTGAAAGTGAATTTGTAATGTGACCTACAAGTGTAAGGATGACTAACTGATAGAAGTGTGTGGGCAGTCATTACTTACCAGTTGCCCACAACGTGAAAATTGGTTTCTTTCTGAAACAGAAGAGGCATCAGTATTGCATGACTTAAGAACCCAACGGACAACTGCTTCAGGTCTATTTGATTCGGTTTTTGGAGTTATGTCTATATTAAGATCTTACTGCCAGTTGTGGAACGATGAACGTTAAGTTATGGTGTAGAATGTTTGGGACGAACCTTTTTTAGAATCCTCCCCCCTCCTTAGAGCGGACAGGTAGCATAGTTGGTATGCTGGTTGTCCAAGCGAAACAGCTTACCGTTGTCGCATTCCACTTCACCCTCAGACCCCCTCCTAACATAGTGTAGACCACTTCCACTATGACGGTAACTGTTTTCAGTCCTGGGGAACATTCGTCCCAGCTAGTGTAGCTCATTGGGTCATTGCAATATGCAAGCCCGACTACCAAGTCAAGGTAGCAGCTATCCATTAGAAGTATATGTATGACTTGACTACACTACTTGCCAAGCGTTGAACCGTTCATCTGAAGTAGAACAGACAATGCCTTGTCACAATAAACACAAAGAAGTCGGTTTAGGAACTGAACAACATAAAGAACTAGATATTGAGTTAAGAAGTATGAATAGGATGGACATGGAAATACTTCAATATGGAATACATCTTACCAATATCAACAATAATTTAGTAAACAGCCTACAAGGTGAAACAAAATACCAGATACTAGTCCTCCTATTCAGGATGCTTAACTTCTGCAACTGTATGACCTCTTATTTCTTACTTCTATCCGTATTCATGAATTCATACAAAACGACGTCGATCAACAATCAGTAATTTTTCAAATTATTAGAATGTACATGTCCAAATATTTTCTTATTCTAGTTCTATACCCAAAAACTAATAGTTTCAAGTGACAGGCGATTAAAAGTAATGCGAAACCTTTAAGAAATACACAATTCCCGATCATATCGTCCAAATTCACTTCTATTTAAAAAATATCAGTTTACCCGACTGAAATCACCAGTCGGTCACGTTAGTTAGACCTCAGTTACCCAGAACGCAATTTCTATATGCCAGGCTGTAACCAACATTCATTGTGTGACGGCTGATAACACTACGCAGTTCCTCAGACTGACGAAGGTGGAGTAGAATTCAAAACCGTGATGCAGTAGCTCAAAGCTGAGTGTTTAAACCAATGAACTACATCTTCGCTGATAAAAATTCGCCGAGTAAAACTTATTTGTACCCATATCGTGTGTAAATATACACGACCAAATATAATTTGAAATTAGGCCTAGCCTAAAATAAGTTACTGGAAATGACTACAAGATTACCAGTGGAGTAATTTAGATTCTAAGTCGGAGATGTTTACATACGCATAGATATCATATTTACAATCTGACAGATGCTTATTTCATGCTATGAATTCTGTTGAAAAAATCTCGCTATTTTATGCATTTATGATCACGTAAAGAAAACTCTTAATAGTATGACGACAAAGTAACCAAAAGATGTCAAATATATTTAACATTCACCACAAGAGAAGATTCGGATTTTCAACATTAATGTCGAGTCAATGTGAAATGCTTGTATGTAGTCCTGAGACTTGGTGTGTCATGAAGAGCATTTCTAACGGGCTACTGCAGCCACCTTTGTTCTATACTGTAGACCAGATAGCGAGCCGGAAAGAATAAACAACAGAGAATTCTGGAGACAACACCGTATCGCCAAACAAATATGCAGAAGAAAATGAAAATGGACACAAGCTGAGGAGTTGCATCACATACCAGGCTGTCGAGTGTAACGCAAAAGGAAAACAAACAGTTGAGCATCAGACAACAGAGTGAAACGGTGTTGTGCTGCTGAACCTGTATGTTATAATCGGAACCCACGGGAATCGTATTAATGTCACATAATACTAATTAGTTATTTCCTTTTGTTGCAACCTAAAACCTAGGCAGTGAAATCTTATAGCAATGCGAATATCTTCGGTCGACTATAAAATTGGGTGGAAAAAAGGCGTGATTTTCCTAGAACCACAGTTGCTACTACTTAAACACACCTTTAAAAATCTCACATGAAATATGAGTTCTATTATATTATGAAACCCTTTTGCAAAAAGTCTAAGATACATATGTGTCTGTATTTTCGAGTCTATTGCTTTCAACCGTTGTTTGTAATGTAGAATTTTAGATAGATAAGAAGTCTTATTTTCGAAATACGAAATAGTTTTTGACTTTCATTATAAGATATGTAAGATATCACGTCCATGGGTGGTTAAAAAAACCTAGTGATATAAGTAAACTTTTAGAGATATCTAAGCTTTGTAATCACTTTGACTAAACAAATTATTTTAACACAAAAATATATCGAGAGATATAAGTATAAAACTTGGGCACTGTGGTAGAGTATAACTCCATTATGGATTAGATTTTATTTTGATAAATCACAGTGTTATACAGTTATATCAACAGTAATATAATATAATGATAATATAATATAATATACAGTAATATAATGTTAACAGTTAATATTACTGCATAGCACTGTGTAATTTATCATAATAAAATCTTATCCATATCAAGAGATAGCTATTTGAAATGATAAAAGCTAGCATCAAATGACAATTATTATTTGTAAAGTTGAAACTACTTACAACTCGTCCTTTATAGACTTCATTTGCCTCAAATAAGGCCTTATCCCATATTTCCCGACTTGGAATGTGTTTAGAATGCGGTTGATAATACCTAAAAAATTAAACATCAATCTATCAAATGTTTAATAACACACATTGTCGGCCAGCCAAATGCCATTTGGTCTTCCTGATGAAAAAAGAAGTAAATGCATTTATATTACTAAACTGGAGACTCACTCCAATTGTATATGGAGCTGCAAAGTCATATATAATCCCATGTGAATTAGCAATCCCCATATGTCCAACAACAGGGAACAACCATCTTTATAAATGATGACATCACTTAAAATAAGACATACGTCAATAGTGGAATTGGAGTCCAAACAATACAATAGGGGAATCGATGAAGAAAAGGAGTGACCGCATCTGTCCTAGTTTCCCCATTATTAAGTGAAGGCTTTTGGAATTTGGTAGCAGATTCCATACTGCTTATATCTGTCCTGAAAAACAGTTTGACGAAAATCAGGTGTTTAAATCATCGTGAAGCTATCTGTTGATGTAAACAAAAGTACTCACTGACTCTTAAAGTCAGTCAGTCTCAAAAAAGCTCCCGAAAATAAAAAAGTGTTATGAAAATATGATAAAAAGTCAATCCAACTGCACTGTATTGAACGAATTCATCCGCATCTTCTAGTCTCCAGACATCTGTTTTTTGTACCTACAGGGCTCATATCAGAAAACTCCAAACCCATTTTCTGAATTAAAAACGCTTAATGCGTTTCCAGGATAGAATTGTAACTTAATACGCCCCAGTCGACGGAAATTTACAACCTAACACCACCATTAATCTTATTGTTAGTGATTACATTACTCTACGCAACAATTACGAAATCCTCTAGGCTCAATATGTTTCCTGCCTTCCTGAGTCACATTTCAATACAGTAAATTTGAAAAGAATGAAATTCTGATCAGTACACGCGCTATTTCATAAGCACTCGAAAACGACGCTCTCACCAAGGACTACACAAGAAAATGTAAAATTAGCCCTTTGCATATGTAGTTTGGTCTCATATGATGTTAATCACATCGAATAGTAGTTATACTATGAAATGAATGCTTACAGTGACAGTGGAATCTTTAACAGACACTTTAAAGTATCATCACTTCAGAAAACTTTCTATAAGATTCTGCGGGGCAATTTGTTTTCCCAGAACTTTTTCCACAGTTAGACACTGATGTAACACTTATACGCTATGCAAAGTGATTTCGTCTAGAAGCAGGATGACATCCAAAGCTCACCTAGTCTGGTTTCTGTGGAATGTGCAGCGTGGAACAGGTCAATTAATTATGGTTACATTTCAATAGTTGTATACACTGATAAGGTTTTCTGATTCTGGTGATATTCCGAGCAAAATCAAAGAGCATGTCATTGTGTATAAACAAATACTAAAATATAGTTGTAGTAGTCTGGTATGAACGACATTGCGAAGAAAGTCCTTCCACTACGCACCCGTTACCTTCAGAGTATACAGACTACAATTCACTGCATTCACTTCCCAGGAGACAGGTAGAGGTACTGAAAACGACAAATGTTGACAAGTTTTACTACATGTTCCAGTGAGGAGTTCGAAAATACTATACACAACTATATACCTTCTCCAAGATGAATCTTTCCAAATAAACTTATGTACTCCTACGAAAAAAATGATATACATCTATGTATGTCAGTGCATATAACGAAACAAGTTACCGATTGAGAAGAAATAGAAGATTAATAGTAAAAAAAAAATGGGTGACTCTAAACTATAGCAGTCCAAAACGAAACTACCTAATGAACGAGTTGACTAACTTGACGAATGTATGTACAGAAATCGGTTTAATTAAAGGGTCAGGTTAACCTATCTCTTTGCGGAAGACTAATGTAAAGAGGAATTTAGAAAGAATCATAAAAATATTCGCAAATCCTCATGTAGCCTTGAAATTGGCTTTTGAATTCAACACCTGAAAACCTAATTCGGATGTGATTTACACATAGTAAAAGTTAGTATACTAACTTTGATATATATATATATATATATATCAATTGAGAACGTCAGAATCTGAATACCTACATCACAGTGAATCTCCAAACTTCTCTAAAACGCTAATGAATATTTGATAGTTTTTCAGTGCAGTGAATGATAATAACTTTGTTCCTATTTAGGTGCTAATCGATACATTTAAGTTATCCTAGTCAGCTGAGTGACGCTTACATTTGTAAATTAACATCCAATGTTCAACATGAAATATCATTTTACAAGTAAGTGTAAGCCAACTCCATTTATATTAGCTCATTTCCCTTCAGTATGGTAAGCGTCATTGATCTTCAGCGAGTTTTCATGTATCTTGTCCATCACTCAAACTGCCGTAGCTCGTTAATGGACTTTAAGTGGGAGTCTGGTTATATGTGATTTGCTATATTCGGTGTGTACTGCATCTGTGACTCACTTGTTTGTCGTCCTATGTGGCTGAAAACCAGACTTATAATTGTTGTTACTGTTTCCTATCATTCCTAATGGAACATAAGGCTTCAAAGGGACGTCTCCACTTTGTTCTATTTCCTGCAGTATTTAGGTAGTATAATTTCCAACATTTTAAGGCTGTTTTAATGTATATTTGTACGGACTGACTTCACCGCCATTTCGCTTTTTCCGTTGTGCTGTCAACATGCACATTATATGGGTTTGCAATACGGTCCTTTTTGTTAGACAAGTTCGAGGCTTTTACCCATTGAGTTATCTTTAACTTCTATTTCACTCAAATTTACTCCCAACTACAGCACGTTTCCTTGATAACTAAGTCTTTTCAAACTGCGTTTTGTTATCGCTTCTTACAGGTCAGGTAGATAACTGAATTACTGGGTATATAGGTAAATTACGTTTAGTAAGGCCTGTAAAGTGTAGATTATATTCAGCGGTACCGGTGCCGAACACTCTTTAGCTGGCCACTCGATTACCCATATTCCTTCATCTCCCAGGACGATCTCCTCCGTGTCACCTTTCGACGACTCACTCACCGTTTCCCGTGCAGGTTCCACTAGAGGGCATGATATGCGGTGTCATTTGACAGTCTTCTCAGTGTGGGCCCAATCCACATACATTTTCTTCTACATGTCTTCTTGTCTTCAGTTGGTTGATTCCGGTTATTTAATGCTCGATATGGATCAAAAGCAGATGTTGACAAAAGTTTGCAGCTTGTTCGAAACACTTCTCGTAACACCACAAGTTTCTGACCAACATAGATGGAACGACTTAACATTTGTGTTGAAAATCTTGTTTTTGAGGCTGATTGAAGAAGATTTTCAAACTGATTTCAGAGTGGTAATTTGTCTTGCCTTTCTGATTCTGGCTTTGACACCCTCATCCATACCTCTTGTAGTTGAAGTAATGCTTCCTTAATCAGTGGAGAATGTGATCTCATATTTTACTGCTATTAATAATACAATCAATAGAAATTATTTGCACTCAAAAGGGAATGCCAACAAACGAATCTGTAGATAATTAAAAACAATAATTATATAGCAAATGAATGAATGCAGAGTTTTTAGAGGACTGAGAGAAAAAACTATGGTGGGAATCATGCGCGAGATTAATTGAGACCCGTTGATGGAATTAGTTAAGTGAGGTTTACATGTCACTCGTCTCAAAAGGACAGTCCATTTCCACTAGGTTGCTTGTGTTGCCCAACGATTATTCAGACTGCTCTAAGCTTTCCACTCATTACCCAGGAGATATGGCTGCTCTTAGAGACATCCAGGGGCGGCAAACTCTACGCGGAAAGACATAATGGCATACTCTATTCTCCTCCCACGGATGCCCAATATGTCGTGAGATGCAATGAAGAAGTGTATGATGGCTTGATGGCTGGACACCTTTATTAGGTTAGTTCTGATCATTTTACCTTGGAAGCGTTGATCAGGTTAGTCTTCCACTGGAGGTAGATTTAAATGGAATCAAAACACGTGGTCTAAGTTTCGCCACAAATGCATGTAGCCTCCTTGTCCTTGTTTGAACCCCTTTCCGAAAATGGTGTCACTTCTATGGTACATTGATACCATTATAAATCGAAATCGCACATTTGTTTCGCACAGTCTCAGAAGAAGCTCAGGAGCTTACCCAGCTGTCTGCCTGTGAATTATATGAAAGCATCTACCCAGGTAACTCACACTTGCAACCTGGTTTTATTCCTGGAACGAGACTCAAGCAGTTGTCTAACGTTGCTCAGCTATAGCCTTTCAGACCTTAACACCCATGAAATGAGATTATTGGGTTTTTCGGCAGATGGTTCTGATTATTTTGATATCTGAGGTCGAAACTTGCTTCATGTATGGAGCTTTCATACGTCAGTTACGCAATCGTGGTGTAGCTGTGAGTAATTCCTTAAAACCTTAATCATACAGCTTTTATCAATCAACATTGGGCGCTAGCCTTAAACAATTAGGTCTAATGCCAGCATAATACAAAATATCAGGCTTGAAATTCACTATTACATATGACTACACCACGGTTTAAGCTGATTTTTCTTAATTGAATCGTTTAGCTCCACTTTAAATTGTATATAATAGGCAGCCTAATGACACTGAACGTCTTGAAACAATGCATCTAAAACATTGTGCATGATCTGACTGTCAGTTTAGAAATCTTAGAAGCACGGCACTTCTAAAGACGGAATATTTTCTAACTTTGAAGGTTAATAGCAAGTGACAGTTGATATGCTTACGACTTCCTTTGAATGAACCTGGGGTATGATCTACGCATTTAATTACTCCTCGAAATGTTCACCTTTGCATAATGAAATAGTGCTGAAATACTTCTGATACGATGGTCGATACTGAGCCTGATAATTGGTTTCATGAATATTACACAATGCTTGCTGTTTGTGCTCATTATAATTATTATTGCGCGATAACCATTTCTTTCTTATGTGTTCGGTTTTCGTAACCACGGTGGTCACAAAAATTCGTGTTATTTTACAGCATTTTTGTTTATCGATGGGCCATTACTATCATCATCAGGAAATGGAACGAAGTTTGGGTTGTCTCGCTCAACTTCGATGGAGACCTTCGTGAAAGATTTACAAATTAACAATAATAAGAATCTGTTCCGATTGCTTGTATTATATAATTCAACGATTTGAACTTTTTAAAAAAAGTGATAATCTTACTGTCCCTTGTAAACGTTGTACTTACCTCAATATTGGTTGGCTATCGTATGCCTACAACTACGGGTTGTAAACGAAACGAAGTCGATTTTCCTGCGCAACCTAGAGGACTACTGTTTAATTCAATAATGATACGACATTATTGACATTATATCATACTTGATCGTGCCTGTAAAAATGGCATGCATTTTCATGTAAATTTATGTTTATATGAAAATATAAATTATTATTATAAGCAATAATTTCAGGAAAATATAAAATTTCCACACAGGATATTTATATCCACGTACCTCTGATCATTTTCTGCAGTTCTGATGACAACGAAATTATATCAGCATCACAGCTCACTACTTCTATCCGAAAGACAATAAAATGGCCATAACTTCATATTTTAGGTCAGTAGAATAATGAAAACTTCATTTTGCTTCCATTTGCTAACAGTGCCTCTATAATATAATGACTGGCGGTGTGCTCATTGTATAAATTCTACGCTTTCACTGAAGGAGAAGGCTACCTCTCGGTTGGTTTCCACCGTTCATGCCCTAAAATAACACTTATATACTTCACGATAATCTCTTTTAACCAATTACTATTATACTTTGTTTTATTTTAACTACCTAGGCATTCAGCAAATCTAAAGCTTACTGTTTTCATCCACATTCTTCTCTTGCCTTTATTCTGGTTGCTCTGATGAAAAAAAACATAACATTAACACCCATGTTTGAGAAAAGCTATATTCTCATCAAAAATGTTATAGGTTTCATGCTAATATGGTTAGCATTATGCTTTGCAAGCGCATACTGCCATTCCACGTAGTCTACCCCCCCTTGTCTTATATATCTTGTAAATGTACTTCCATTGATGTATTATCCATAATTGAATTTTATATAATAATAATAATGTATTTCATATAAATTTACAAATTTACATGAAAATGCATGCCATTTTTACAGGCACGATCAAGTATGATATAATATCAAGTCGTAGACTGTCTACAAGTTAATCGTATTTCAACTGTTAAATATTCGATACATATAATACACTCATTTTCTGAATTAGGCCGTATAGTTATTGAATTGTACAGTTGTCCTCCAGGTTGAGCGGGAAAATCGACTTCGTTCCGTTTTCATCCCGTGGTTGTAGTCATACGATAACCAACCAATATTGAGGTAAGTACACCTTTTACAAGGGATTGGAATCTGTTTTAGAAAAATTAAAGTGCTGAGGTGAATCATTAAATTGTAATGAAATAGGTAAGTGCAAGTATCATTAATAAATGCATTAATAAAGGAAACACCCTAGGGTAACAACATTCATTTGCAATGTATAATGCTACAGATATATCACAAACTATCATGATATCCACTTTTGGTTTTAATACAATTATCCTCATGCCAGTTGTTTCTATTTTATACCTTTTTGTGCATTTAGTGCACAACCGTACCCTTCAGAGAGTAGGAGTATAATAAGTAATGAAGAGCTATAAGATGTTAAGTTTAATGGAGTAAAATGAGGATCAAGTAAAGACGTTGCCAGAAAATAAATGAGATAAGACATTGTGGAGTGGTATGAAAAGATCTGACGATAGACAGCAAGTTAATTTATAAGATGCCCCATAAATCTGAGCAGATCCCACATGGTCGCATCTCAACAATAGGCTGGGTGAATGGTATATATTTAAAGGTAGAAGCATGATCTGTCATGCTTCTACCGTTTTGCAGTTTCCTAGGACGTTCTTCTCTCTCTCACGTGGCGGCATGGTACTCAACCAAATATACGCTGTTCACTGGTTGACCATACCTGCCAACATGAAACCAAACGAAGCTAGGGTTGGCACTCGAACTTGACAGTGACCTTGGTGACAATTAAACATTCGTAACAAATTAGAGGCAGATGGTATCGACGTTCACGGATTGTATGGAGTATACTAACGCAAGATCTAATGCCCACAACTTCTATAGTATTCATTCCGCGTAGACCAAAAGCAAAGCGAAACATGATATTTGATCGTCCAAATTGCGAGATATATTTCGGGACCCAATCGGATTGC